TTGCAGTCTTGCACTGCATTGAAAAGCCGGCTGCCAATGAGTACTGGCAGCATTTTGGGCTTGTTCACAGACACATTTGGGTGATCTGTGACAAAAGCTGCAATGCAGGGAGCAGCGCCGCACAGATGTCATGTCATGTGAAGAGCTTGACAGGATACTGCACCGGAGTGTGCAGCGCATGGTCCAGTAATGCGTGATGTGATTGGTGCAGAGTGTTCAAGCTAAGCTTGCAGGCCACCAGGCCTGTGAATGTTTACTCATTGTCACACATGCATGATTCAACATAGCCACAGTCACAGTCCACCACCTTGCAGCTTGCACTTGTAGAGTAGCCTGCAGGCACTCCGTTGCCATGGCAAGGGTGCGTCGCATGGAGACGCTGCATGAAGCTCTGGAGGAGGCTGCTGAGATCCTTCAGTCAGCCCAGAGCCAGCCTTCAAGCACTGAGCTCTCTGTGGCAGCCAAAGACATTCCAAGAGCAGATGCTGCTGCACCATCTTACTTTGCCAGGCAGGGGAAGAGGCAGCGCACCCAAACCCTCCAGCTGGGCGACTTTTCTGATGTAGATGACACCTACTGGCAGCAAGACCAGCACCCCAATCACTGCTGTTGCGGGAACTGCTTGATTGTCTTTCGCGCATGGATTGAAGAGCAGGGAGCTGTGGCCACCAACTTGGAAGATGGCGCTGCTTTGGAGGCTGAGGGTGATGCCGAGTGTGCCAAGGATGTGGCCAAGTGAAGAAGAACTGGCTTGCAGGCTTGCAGGCTGGCAGGATGATCTGATGCCAGGCTGGCAGGGATCAGGGAGGGATGGTTTGAGCTCGCAATGGTAAATTGATGATAGTCACCTGACACCATGGGATTTTTCCATGAGGCAAAGCCCATGCCTCATCCAATAAGCAGCATTTTCCAGGCCAACTAATCTACACAGGAGTGGTCCAGTTTTGGCCCCGTTGCTGACCTTTTGCCCTAGCCTGTGGGAGACAAGTTTGCGCCTGGCCAATCCATGCGTTTGCACACCCGGTTTCGCAAGCGTGTAAGTTAGTCTTAACCCATGTGCCCAGGCATCTTCTGCTAGCTCAGCCCTCAGAGTTCCTGCACTCTTACACCACTGGTGGTGCCTCACTTTTGTGCCCCCACCCCTGTGTCATTAGGGCTCTTTGGCAGTTCATGGTCCTCAAGACCAACTTGAGCTGCACGCGTGGGATTTCTTGCATTTGCAGCCTAGGTTCCCACATCAAGCCCCTGTTCCCTCCTTGGCTGTGGGGTGGCCATCCTTGCATGTTTACCTTGCGCAGCTAGCCACAGGTGGTCTTTGCCATGTGCTGCGTTGGCATATCAGGCCTCCTGAGCCCCCTCTGCTCAAGCACACAGTGCGCTAGGTGGCCCTTTTTCCTGTTGCTTTGAGCCATGAACAGCTCCTGCACACCTGAGCTTCAGGAGGCACTTGGAAGGCTTGCAGACCTGCAGGAGGCACTTGGAAGGCTTGCAGACCTGCAGGCAGAGCTTCAGACCTGCCTTGGACCCATGAGGCGCACCCTTGAGGCCAACCAAGAGGAGTTGCATGAGACCAGGCTTTTGGTGAGGAACTTGTCCTGGGACATCGCATGTCTCCACTACTGCGTCGCAGTTTGCTGCCTACTTCTTTTGATAGCCATGCGATATTTTTGCTGAGCATGCCAGAAAAAGAGAGACGAGATTCTTTTCATATTGAAAAGGCACTTCTCCTTTCGGGTCTTGCCATCCCATGTCTGCCAGGTGATGTCTCCAGATTGCCATGGCCTCAGTGGCTGCTTTCATGTCCATAACCCTGGGCTTTGTGTGTGTGTGCGCCAATTTTTCAGGGTTTGGAAGGTGCCCAAAATCCCAACAGCCCTGTCCATGCCATGGCATCTATGGCATGGGGCATCCATGGCATGGTCCACCCAAAATCCAAGGCTTGCCAGGGGAAAATGCCCGCACTCGTTCTTTTGAAGTTCTTTCCCCAAAGTGAAGGCATGTGTGTTGGCCTTGGAGTGGCTCAGCACTGCCTGCACTTGGAGAAATGGCCCATCCAAAATTGTGAATGCAATGATGCTGGTCAGGCAAAACCAAAGAGAGTAACAACCCAAAAAGCAGTTCCAGGATGCCTTTAATGACAGCTGCCATGCTTTGAAGTAGACACCCACCATGGGCGCACCAGGTGAGGGGCCGGACTTGCGTGCCACTGTAATGTGTGACACACTGCTATTTTGAGGGGGTGACTGTTTAACATTGTGAAGCTCGATTCATTATATTTTTGCCACAAAGAGACAACCCCTGGATTCTTGAAGCTGTGGTGTCTGTGGGCTGTCTGCCAGTTGTGTCTAGCCTTTGGGTATCCTTGAAAAGTTGTGTCTTCTGCGCTCAGCCATGCCCAGGTGCTTTGGGGAAGCCAATCTGCTGGTCGGCTGTGAGGATGTCAGTTTGAGAGGAAAACAAATTGTTGTCTTGTTGAGCCTGCTACTGTACTGGGTAATTGTGTGCGCACACCGAAATGATAATGTTGAACGAATGGCCAGCCAGTGGAATGATGTGCCTGCCGTGGGTGGGCACCTTTGCATGCCCAATGTGAACTGCCATGAGTTTTTGGCTCACAGCACAGCACAGCTTGCAGGCCAGCAGGCTTGCAGTCCAGACAGCTTGCAGGCAATGCCCCAACAGAGAGGGCTTTCGTATGAGAAGCGGCAAGGTGTCAGAACACTCAAGAAGGCTGTCAAGGTGGCCACAGAGGAGGCTGCAACCTCCAACAAGAAAATTGGCATCTTGAAGAATGATGTGAAGGAGCTGAACTCTGCACTCAAGCACGTTGCGAATGATCTGATGGAGGAAACGTGCCTCCGTGCCAAGGCTGAGCAAGAGACTGAGAAGATCAAGAAGGGCAGGGACGTTGTTCTGGAGAAGCACCAGGGGATGTGGAAGCGGGTCTATGACAAGTGCAACCAGGCAGGGTTGACCAAGCATGACCATGGGCCTGGCAGTTGCTACCCCTGACTTGACCGCAGGAAAAGGACGCCCTCTGCATTGAGAATGCAGACTTGCACTTTCAGATCATGGACTTGCAGGAGAAGCAGGAGCAGAGCTCTTCTTCCAAGAGCCAGCCATCAAATGCCAAGAAGCCTGAGATGTCTAAGAAGTGAAGCCAGCATTGCAGGCCTACAGGCCTGCAGGCTAGCTTGAACTTGGCTACCTGGCGCCGTTCTGGAAAAAAGCTTGTGAAGCGGTGGGTGTTTGTGTGTGTGTGTGTGTTACCCATGTGTGGTTGCATGTGCCGTGCGTGGCCTTTGCTGAGCAGCTCAGTTGCGCCTGTTTAGGTCACTGTGTACATGTCTGTTTGCGCTGTGTTATCAATGGGCTTCTCCTTGCGTTGCAATTGAAGAGCCCACCTGCGGGCAGCACTCATCAGGGTCAACCGATGCAGCACATGCACTTGGGGCTTTGGGGCTGACGCGCATGGCTTGCAGCTGGGGGGCAGGGAGGGGGACTGGAGCATTTATTGGTCTGGTGCTGAACGAATTTCCTGCCCAATGGAGCTGTTTGGAAATTAGATGTTTTGCGCCACTTGGTTGATTGAAGGTTTGCCCTCCCCCTTGCATGATGTCTTCAAGGTTTCTGGCATTAATGTTTAGTGTGTAATTGGTGTTCAAATTTGACAATCCCATCAAGGAGCATCAAAGCTGAACAGTTGTCCTGGCGAAAGTGCAACATTGGCTGGCAGAACCCCAGCCTCCAATCGGTCAACACCTTCAAAAGTCAGTGGGGCCCTCCCTAGTGTCTGACAAGGGCTGGGGTGAACTGCGAAAACTTGCCTTGAACATCCTTTAAGCCTCTGGCCTTTGTCTTACTTGTTCCCAACCCCTACAGTGATAGGAAAATCCAAGGCATGGAGTCCATGCCTTGGCAGGCTTACAACCCCACAATGTGACTGCGCCCTAGTGAGTGGCAACATTGCCTCTTTGCCTGCCAGGCCTGTGTCACCCTGAAGTGAGGGCCTTAGATGCCTGGGCCTTAGTGTCTGCACCTTAGCTTGCAGCAGGCTCCGCTCTGCTGGGGCCTTAGTGAACCTCAGTGCAGGGCTTGAGCCTTAGTGCCCAGCTGCCCCAAACAGTCAAATGGCAACTTCTTTGGCTGCAAGCGTCTGTGTGCAAACACATTGTGGCTGCAGTGTGGTTTGGTGCACGGGTGTGCAACAGGGCATGAAACTTAGGGTCATGGTCAGCACACGTAGCCCCACATGCATTTTCTCAATGGCTGTGCCCTCTATGCATAGTGCTTTGCAGTTGTTACAGTTCTGAAGCAAAGCAGGGATATATATTGACCACTAGGCCATTGAATATTGCAGTCTTGGTGCAGGCTAAAGTGCCCCATGACCATCCTCCCTCTCTGGCCAGGCCTGCTTGGTCATCTTTACCATGTGCCCAAAAAAATGGTGCGCTTTTCAGCGCTACCCGCTTTTCAGCGGTGCCTATGTTTTTACCCTCCCTCCCTCCCTGTGAACTGCTGCTCCAAGTATTCCATGAAGTAGTCCGAGCCACAGTGCAGGGGGTGGGCACAGGGAAGGGTTGGGATGTGGGCACAGGGAAGGGTTGGGATGTGGGCCTGGCAAACAAAACTAAATCTTGGTATCTTAGAATGTTGGTGCCTGTATCTTAGTTCCACTTCTTCTGGTTTAATGACAACATTTTTCTGCCTTAAACATGTTTTAGAGGGAACATACCCAACAAGACCTGTCTGAAGTCTGCTGTTTGCCGAGCTTAGCCCCAGCTGTCCAGTGGCGCCCTGTTTCCTTTTTTGTTGGGGAAAGGTTCCTCTTTAAAGTCAACCAACCAAAAAGCATGCCCTTTTTTTTCCCCCGTGGAAGCCGTTTAGGGCCCAAGGTGGGCCCGTCTGGCCATGTCCAAGTACCTTCGAAGGATACAAGAGGTCACAATGGTTCTTTAAGCCCGGTAGCGGAGAGGACCCGCAAGCTTGGTTGAGGCAACTTACTCGACCCGAGGCCCGCGCTTGGGCTTCTTCAAGGAGTTCACCTTCTGCAGCAGGAAGTCTTTGATGCGCGCCACGGCCTATTCGGAAGTGCGAAGCTTTCGGCTTCCGGATCCAGCCGGTGGTGAAAGCGGGTCCGGTAGCTGGAAATTGGACACAACAATCACAAGCTACGGATCATTCTGTGCTTTGGGACCCTTTTTTCCAAAAGAAGATTATATAAACAAATGAATACATGAAGAAATGAATAAATAGTTAAATTAATAAATACATACACAACATTGTTCCTTTGGTGTCCCTAAATTACCATCAAATAAGGAGTACCCTCAAAATGGACACCTGCCTAAACAAACCCATGAGCCCACTTTCCGGCACCGACCTGCCCAGGGGAAGCCTATCCATGGTCCTAGTCGTCTGGTTTGGGCTGCCTCAGGAAAGTGGATCCCCTGGGAACGGGACCTGTCACATCCCCCGCCAAAAATCTAACTTGGCTAAATGGAAACTCATACTAAGCCACAAGTAATATGTTTTAGCCCACACGTTAAATAACTAGACCTAAAAATAACTAGACCAAAAAATGGACCAAAAATAACTAGACCCTGAAGACCTAAAAAGTAGAAAGCTAAGAAACCGGACGGCTGGCAAAGGACGACAACTCATATTCTCCAGTTTACAACCCTTAGTACGGGCTTGCAAAAAAACGGCTGTTTTGTGCAGCCCACAACAAATGAACAGAAAACCGCAACACCTCAAAAAGACAGCCTGAACACCTGATCCAACACCTGGAAGTACTTGGCACAGTACAGGTAGTCCCCTGAAAGCACCATAGCGGTGCCCTGGAAAAACGGTGGTGTTCGCAAAGGAAAATAACTCATATTCTCCAGCTTCTTTTTGCAGAAAAAAAAACAGAACCACAAAACCTATACACAAACCACCTTAAATCCTGATCCAACCGTGAAGTCTCCGGCAAATCGAAGCTCTCAACTTCCCGCCTTTGTACGGAGTTTTTCCAACTCCGGGGCTGACTGGGCACACGAGGGCCTCGTGACAGTCTCGCTTGCGAGCTGCCGCCCGGGACTCAGTTCCCACCCCCCCCAAAAAAAACGGAAGGGGTGCTCCCTGGGATGTAGTTTTAGCGCTGCTAAGCTCAGAAAACACTGTGAATACCATAGCAGGCGGGCTCGACCTTCAGGCCACGTTGCCCTTGGAGAAAAAACACGGGGAAACATGGCCGGAAAAAAAAAAGAAAAAACGCGGCCTCCAAAACGTCCGGAAGCTGCGTGCGGGCCACTGGTTGCTCTTTGAAGCAATCGGACGGGCGCATGTCCACCAGCAAAGTTAAAAGATGATTCTAACCCCAAAAAACACAATTCATCCGCCCGATTGTTCAACCCATCCGGAGCTCTGACCTAGCTTTTGGCTGGGCCTCAAAAATCTGTTTGGGGGTCGACCGGTTTGTCTTTTCCGACCTCCAGAAGGCCTGGTTGCTGGTTGGGGGAACAACCCGCCAGCCGCGAATTTTGTGCCTATTCAGCTGCTGCTGTTGCTGAGCACAGGCGTGACAGTGCTGCCATAGTAAGTCCCCGAGTCGGTCATATTAGCATTTTGGATCCCCAATGAACCCCCTTTTGTCTGCCCATGTACACATACATATACGAATATTATACATGCATACAAATGAATGTCTACACACATATGTATATGACTTTCTTGTGGGTCAATTTGACGTACCCGATCCTTCCTCCCTCAAAGCAAAACTCAAAGGAAACCGGCTTCTGACCGAATCCGTCGGCGTTGAGGCTTTGGCAGCCGCTGCATCTCTTGCTGCTTCACGTGATCTAGCCTCAGCTTAGAGAAAAAACAAAACAGACCGCAGTGGCCAAGGGAAAAGCAAAACAAAATCTCGGGTAGCTTCCATTTCCATTCTTGCCAGGGATCCAAATCTTTTCAGGAGAAAAAAAAAGCAAAAAGAAGGGGAGAAACAGCGCTCGGTTTTTGAAAAAAAGGATGGTTGAAAAAAATGGTTGGAATCAACCCCTAGAAGCAAGGTTCCGAGCCTAAATGGTCGAAGCACATTCTAGTTCGAAACCTTTTTCGGGTTGAGTTGGAAGCCTTTATTCTACAGCGCAAGCACTGTTTAAGAAAACACTGGATAAGAATTTCAGGGGCTGGAGCCAGAGTTTCAGCCATTATGTTCCCTTACCCGGGTCGTCACCACCTTAAGAATTTGAGGGCCCCTCATCTCCAGGCCCCAAATTCTTGATTCCACCCATTCTTGATGTAGCTGCAAACAATCGCATCTGCATTTTTTCAGGAGCAAGCAGCATTGTCTTTGTCAAGCATCGAGATCCAAGCACTCCAGGCTCAAAGTCATCTTGCCTTTGCTTGTCACCACAACAGCTTTGCCGTCGTGGACTCTACAATGCTGGGCTCAGGCTCGCCCTGGGCGAGGTGAGCCAGCGTTACCTCCAAGTTTGTCTTGACACGTTTGCCAACCAGTGGATGAGGCGGATCCATCCAGGAGGAAAGCAAGCTGTTTTTTCCCCAGCCGGGAAAGGCTTCTATTATTCGCCGTCCAAGCCTTCTGCCTGGATCAAATCATCTCCAGAGCCATTCAAAGCAAACTTCGGCTGGCGAATCTCATTGAAGGCCTCGCCAACCAGCTGTGTAATTGAGGGTTGCTAAGAATTTGAGGGTTGCTAAGAATTCGAGTGTTTTCTAAGAAGTTGAGTGTTGCTTAGAATTTGAGGGTCCTTAAGAATTTGAGGGCCCCCTAAGAAGGAAAGCCGCCAAGAAAATGAGGATCGATGTTTGTCTTCAAGCAGTCCTGCTGGAGCCTTGGAAACCTTCAGCTGCTGCTGCTCCCAGAACTCTGATCCTTGGACACGAGAAGCCTGCGCCAGCAAAACCTTGTCCTTTGCAGCTTCGTGCCCGCCCTTTGCTTGCGAAGTCGGGAAAGTGCGGGCGCAAAAGCGGCACTGGAGTGGATGTGGTCTCGCAGACAAATCAGAACCGACGGGTGGCCCTTTAACCGGGTAAACTTGCCCTGAGCTGGTCTTCAGAAAGGCTTGGCTGGCATATTGGTGCAAAGACACTTGCTGCCCCGGAGAAGCTGAAGAGGCAGCTGCTTCTGATCCAGCATTTGAATCCTTCGAGGGCGTGGCTAGCAATGCAGCTCCTTCTGATCCAGCTTTTGAATCCTTTGTAGGTGTGGCTAGCAATGCCCGCGGGGTTGGGGTATCTGCATCTGAAGCATCACTAATGATCTCCATGTCAGACGGCATTGCTCAGTGCCAAGCATATGTAATTTTGCAATCTCTCTCTCTCTCTCTCTAGCGTGATATTGCTTCTGTGCTTTGTATATGTGTGTGCGAGCCATCCCGAGATGCGATGGAACAAACAATTACCAATGAACCGTAATGAACCCGCTCAAGCAAGTTAAGAAACTGCCAAATTGAGGGACCCTGGAGCAAAAATACCCTTCTGCATGTTGAACTTGAAGTTAAGAATTTGAGAGTCCCTGGGTTTGGCGGGCCCGGATTCTTATGCAACGCTTGGACTGTAGCTCCTAGTGCATAAACCCCTACATGCTAAGAAACCCTTTCATTGAGTGGATGTTGAAAGGGAATCCACTGAACCCACCTCCAAAAAAAAGCAAAACAACCTAAGAAGCACCACTGAAGGTCTGGGAAAACGTGGCGGTTGCTCTCCGAATGGGCCATTTTTCATTGGGTGAAATTCACGTCCAGGCCCTTTTGAGGGGTTTCTGATGGGGGGGATTTGGGGGGTCTGGGATTGGTTTGGGTTTCAGACCTGCAACGGCTTCTGGCTTAGAGGTGAGTTATTGTCTTGTGGCCATGGGTCAAAATCCAAATCGTACCCCCAGTGAACATCCCAATCCCAATCCAACCACTAAGATAGGAAGCCTAAAATGAGTGGTGAACTCACTAACCAAAATGGGATCAACCAAAACGGTTTGACAATAGCCTTGCGGGTGGGTGCCCTTTGGCTGGTTTGAAGGTAAGGGACAAAGGAGGACCACCGCGACTGTTGAGTTGGTAGCCTTTGGGGCGATGGCTGGTTGAAAGGGAAATCGGGAAACCAAACCAACCATTGGAAGGGGCCCCATTGTGACACAAAATCGGGTGACTGCGTTCCCTGGAAAAAAAGAGAGGCTACCCTCCATACATGTATGTATATATATATATATATTTATTATACACATAGAAACAGGGTTTGGGAATGGCCTTTCCACTTCTGTAGCAGATTCAGCATGATTCACGTTTCCAATGACGAAGTCTTCATGGGGATGTGGTCTGGCGTCGCAGCTCGGCCAAATTGGGCGACCTTCCCACAGACGTACCTTAACCAGTGGATCCTAGGCGATTCGCCCCTGTGAGTAACCCGTCGCCATCCTTTCGGCTCTAGGTCCTCCAGTAGAGAGGTTAGAATGAGGGTACCTTTTTTTCTGTAGTCTATTCTAGTGGGGGAACCCTCCCCAAAAAAAGGGTACAAGGGCACTACTGGGGGACCTGGGGCTTTGTCAGGGTGGGAAATCCCCTTCGTTAACTGCCATACAGGTAAATGGATCCACAGGGTTCCCGTTGTCTCCCCAAAGCCTTTTCCCGGACAGGGGGTCCGCGGAGGGTGCGGGGGGGAGAGGCTGGCATTCAGATCCATCCCTCACTTCCATCTATACAGTATATCTAGTCTTGCCCACAAAAGCGAAAATGGAACCGTGGAAATTTTAAGCGGCAGCCCCAGTTCCGCCGTCCAAAAGTCCAAGCACAATGCCTTTGGAGCCTGTCCAGCAAGCTACAAAATAAGCGCGCTGCTTCTTGTTGAGCTCGGAGAGATAGCCAAGATAGGCCTCCCAAAGAAGTCGATTCAAGCCACCAAGGCTGCTGTTTCTAAACTTGGCTTTTCAATAATGGCCGTGATCCTGAATCCTAACTCTGCAATCATCCGTACCAGGACCCTGGTGCAACAAGGGAAACCACTACCTGCCAAAAGCATTAGGGATAGAGATTGCACAACTCAGCCAAAGACTGCCAAAGCTTCCGCAAAAGCTGCTGTCAATGTTGATTGCATCATCTTTCTTGTACAGGTGTGACACAAAATGCAAGTACAGAAGATCGGACTAGAACTTGGGTTTTCTACCGAAACGGGGGCTTGGTCGCTCCGTGCATTTCTGTGCACCAACACGCCATGTCCCCCACGGAAAAAGGCGGCCTCATTGATCTCCTCCTCGCAAATCTGCCGCACCAGCTGAGGGCTGACCACCACGGAACTCACCTCGCCGAAGTCCCGAGCGGGGGCGAGCAAGGGAACCAAAACGAGAGACCGAGGGTTCTACTCTGTTCAGAGCGGGGCAAAAGCCCCCCCCCCCCATTTTCTATCACGAGGCAAGCAACCGACATAAATTGACCAGGGCCCAGACGTAGTCAGACATCAGCGACTGCAGGGCCCGGCGGTTCTGCCTGCAACATCGCCGACAGGGCAGGTTACACTTTTCTTCCAAAAAGAGGCAGGGGGGTTGCAAACAACTGATCAAAGAGCACGTCCGCCTTTCTCAGGCCGTTGTTTAAGCCTCCTTGGTTCTTAAATGGATTGCACAAGATCCCAACTGTGATTAGTGCATGAGGGCATCAAGGCATCAGGGCCACTCCATACAAGATGCAGTGTGTAGAGTCACTTCGAGAATTCCCCAACCACGCGCGATGGGCCATCTTCAGGTAAGCCAGGGTGTCTTTCACACAACCGGTGCGTCAAGCCCGCTCGTTTTTTTCGGCGGAACAAGGTCCACCACACTCTCCCGTCAGAGGCCGCGGCAGCTTGAGGTTCATCTGCAGTGAGGAGCCCTGCCGGCCGAGAAAAAACAAGTCATGTGAGCACGGCAAGCCGCCGAAGTTGAAGAAGTAACAACGCCCACGAACAGCCCAGTCCAAAAGCTAGAGTCAAACATCCCAGGTCTTCCAATGGAGAAGTTAGAATAAGGGTACCAACTTTTTTCTATAGTCAATTAGTCAATTCTAGTAGGGGAACCCTCCCCCAAAAAAGTTGGCGAGAAAGGGCACCTAGCTGGGGGACCTAGTGAACATTGCCCGACGATCCGTGTCGTTTTTGTTGGCCTTGCTCAGACAAGTCAAGCCCCTCATCCCAGTTCCATGGGTCTTCAAGGCTTGCTTGCGCCTCGAAGTCCTCTGATGCGCTGAGAAGACCCAAGATGGGTGCTGTCCCTGGTAGTTTCCCTGTACCACAAAAAAATGAGAGGGGGTAGCCTCAAAACAACATATCGAACATCTCCTGGGGGACATCAACTATGGGTGTGGTGTGTTGTTCCAAAAAAGAGATGGAGAAAACTCCCGCGCAAAAGCACCAGGTCATAAGATCTCCACCAAGTTCCACCCCTAACCCAGAGGTTTCGGAGCTGTTTTCTTAGGATGGGTGTAAGCCAAACTGTTTGAGCAGCAAGGGTTGGGATTTCTTGGTCCGTACGCTAAAATTGGCTTAGAGAATATTCACTTCGCCGACGTTGCTTTTTTCTGTTTCACTTAGACCTCCTTTTTACACACCCAAACGCCGTCCTCAGGTTTTTGGGTTCGGTTCCGCTCCCACCAATCAAAAACCACCAACAGGTCTATATAAACCTGCAGGACCCATTGATAAATGTTTGCTCGAGCTTTCGTGGCATGCGCGAGAAAATTGATATAAAGGCAAACACATGCAAACGCAGAGATTGCGGCGCGGAGCTTTGGCTCTGCAGACTTTTGGAAAATTGCGCCCGAGTTGCAGGGAAAATTGCGCTTGAGTTGCGGGTTCGTTTTCTCTTTGGGGGTCCCTTATATCTTTTCTTGAGTCGCACCCAATAGAGTCTGACGCGGTAAAAACAAGGCGGACTTGGCGGGCTTGGGATTTGGGATAGATGGTGAATCAAACGCCGTGGACTACCCTCCCACCACCTAACATGGCAGTGCACAGACCCTTGTAGAAGGACTACTTTCCTCTTGGAAAGTGCCTTTGTGCACTTCCATCTGAGTTGGTGGGAGGGTAAGCCTTTACTTTCTCAGACCCTTTGGCTCAACCCAAAGTCGAAGGACGCTGGGCAAGAAGTCGAACCCCCGCAACTTTGCGAATCCAATGAAATTCATCCAGCCATGCATCTACTCTCCTAATCGATATGGAACCCACAAAAGTGGGCGCACTGGGCAAAGGTCTTTTTCCGGGGGAGACCCCAGGAATTTTTACCAAACCACTTGCTAAAGGATGGCACAGTTTAGCCTCTACAGCTCGCTTGCTGAGTGGAAGGCCCAAAAACAGTTAACCGAAATTGTCGTATGCCACTAAAATGACCTTCCCAAGTGGTGCTTAAAGTCCGAAACGGAACTCAAGAAGTGAGACATGGGGGTTTAAAGGGAAACCACCAAGAGTAGGTTTGACCTAATGCAACCACAAGGGACTCCGAAGCTTCTTGTGTCACTAGTCACCCCCCCGAAACCTAGGACTCAATTGCAAACCCGATCCGGGTCCGTTATGGGGATGTATTTGTTTGCTACTCTTTTTTGTACTCGCCCTATAAAGTCACAGGACAGAGAGGTACCTTCAAAAAACGACACACACATATTCTGCAAACAGCCGCACACAAAAGCAAAGCAGGGGAACAATCACCGCGCATCTTGCAGACCACATTAAGATGACACAGAAGACGTTCACACCCTTCAACCACTCTTAAACTTTCTAGACACTCCTCAGTTGTTCAGTGACCCTGGACAAAAAGGGAACCCTTTTTGGGGAAACCAGTTTTGGTGGGGCAGCCACCAAAAAAAGTTGGAAAAAGAATTGGTGCCACTGAACAACTGAGACTCTGACCACTCTCATAAAATGAGCCTCGCCAAAGGCCCAACTAGGTTTTCACGCCACAACTGGGCGAGACTTAGACCCCGTGCAGAAAGTCAGCTCTGTTTGCGCGTTGAAAAAGGACTTGAAGCCAAACTAGCACAAAGTTGCAAAGGTAGATCCCAAACCGCAAAGTGGGATTTAAAGAAAACCCACAAGTACCAAGGGTTCTTACGGTGTGAGTCTGGCCTAAACAAATTGGTGGTCATTCCATGATTTGTAAAGGGAGTTTGTAGGACACCCAACTCAACTCTCCCCTCTGATTGGTGGTTTGGAGCCCGGTGGTGGAGGTGTTCCGGGCTAGTTACCTGCAAGAATCAGATTTGCCCTAATAATATAATAGGTGGTTTGGATTGTTGTGACAAGGAAGCTAGGGAGTGGTCTCCCATTTATCCTCTGCAAGAAGGTGTTCACATCAGAGGTGTCCTTTTAGGGCAAATAGATGGGTTTCCCTGCTAGATGACTAAACCACCAAATAACCCAGGAATCGCCATCTATGTTTTCGCAGAAACAAGCAACAAGGACACCAAAATGGTTCAAATCCCCCGATCCAAAGCACCAAGCGATCGTTTACCTGGCCTGAAGCATACGGATCTCCTCGGAGATGCCGGAGAGGTCCGACTGGAACCTGCCACCGGGGGGTGCAAATGGCGCAATTGGAAGCTCGAAACATCGTGGAAAAGTGGAAGTCTGGGGGACACTTCCATTTCCATTCTTTCCAGGGATCCTTCTGTTCAGAAAACCATCAGAACCCCAGGGGAAACAGCTGGATTTTGAAAAGAACGATGGCTGAAAAGAATGGGACATCAACCCCTGGAAGAATAACATGTAGGCAGCCCACAACAGGTGGGTTTCAACACCAGCTTTTGGTTGCCAATCTAAAGTGAGCTTCTTATTGGTGGGGTGGTCTTTCACGGGGAAGCATATGGAGCCCTGAAACTCTTGCTCAGCGCCAAGAACAGGTCCTGTCCAGGAACTCAAGGAAGGGAACCATAGCCCCAACACTTCATGTAAATGGAACTTATCTCGTTGGTCCGCTTTCTTGAGGGCACCCTTTTGAAACCAAGAGGAAAACCCCCCCCTTTTTTGGGGCCCCCCGGTTTCAAGACACACGCAGATCGGAGAACCTTCTGAGAAGGCGTTCATAGAAGGCTTCTTAGCATCTTTCTGCGGCGAGGGAGGCGAATGTCCTCTCAATAACATATTGGACAAAGATCGACAAACCCCATGTTGGGGAGTTAGTTGTTGCCCGATAAAGTCGCAAACTCACATCCTTGTCCAAAACAGTAACCTACATCCTAGCATATCCTAGCATTCCTCAAACAGATAGTCCCAAGTACTCAGTCAACCAAGCCAGCCCACCTTCTTCCCCGACGGATTTTGCGGGCGTTGGGAGGATATTCATCTCACGCTGCGTATCATGACTCAGCGCCTGCACCTCACGAGAAAGAAAAAAGGAAGTTTCCTTCGAGGAAATCTCGCTGCTACCAACATCCAGACCTTGGGCTCGCATCTGCAGTGCCATCTCGTTTGACTTGTTCTTCCAATACACCGCCCCATGCAGCTTGGCGTAGACATTTCGGGGGACACAAAGCCGATCACCAGGTCACGCATCTTTACACGGCAACAAGGAGTCTGAAATGCATTTGTGTCATCACCGGTGTTATCGTCTCCGTGTAGCTAGGAGACAAGCCCAGCCAAGCCCAACCCGCATCTTCATCACCTTCCCCTCAGGCCCTAGACTCCCAAAAACTCAAGGCAAGTCCTCCGCAAAGCTTTGCGAGTTGAGACAAGTGTCTAGGGGTTGATTCCCCATTCTTTTCAGCCATCGTTCTTCTCAAAAACCAGCCATTTCCCCCAGGGTTTTTGCTGGTTTTCTAGAAAGAAGGATCCCTGGAAAGAATGGGGGTTTACCCCTAGAAAGTGTGAGGCTGTCGACATTTGATCGTGTCTCAAAAAAGCCGTACCCCCGAAAAAGGCGCCTACCGGTTTTCAACTTTTGGCTTCCCTCTCTAAAACCAACTTCAAAGAGTTGGGTTGCCCCGCAAGAAAAGGCGAGTCCATTTCCTTGCAGGATAGCCTGCCCTTGGCACCCTTGCAGCCAATTCCAGCACCGAGGTCCCAACCACTGATTCTTTTGACATGGGAAAAAGAAGCTGGGGGTGCTGGTTGTTGTCCCCTTCTTTCCTGCCGTGACCTACCAGAAATCACAAGGCAAACACAAGGGGTCAGTTGAAGAACTCAGAGATCGTCAGATCCGGCTTGAGTCTGCGATCCAAACCATGGCAGCCCCACGTGCCCAGCATCCTCTCCATCCTGATGGAAACAGGGGAACCCAAATTCATGGATTCCCCTTGGCAAACCATTTGTCGTTGGGTCTCGGACCCGGTTTGTGAGTTGTTCGGAAGAACATGCACACTCGTGGATCTATAGTCTCACTTCCTGAGTGGATGGCCCAACCAAAGGTTGTTATTTACCCCTAAAATTGTCTTCCCCCCAAACAAAATTGACTAGGATCTCAGGAAGCGGGGGGTTACTCGCGTGACTCACTGTCCAACAGCTAGCTGGGACCTGGCTCAAACAATGAACCCCTCCGAAGAAAGCAGTTAGAAGCCGGACTGGTCTTTGACCCCGTGCATGTTTTCATGCGTTTGCTCCTACCAAAAGTAAAAAAAAAAAAGAAGAAAAAAGATGAACAAAAACGATCGATGGATTTTGGCTTCGGCTCCAAACTCACGTATGTGTTGAGGCCCCGAAGAACCACTCCGGGGTGTGGTACAGCTTCGGCCAGGAATTTCAGGGTAGCCTGATTTTGGTGTGGTTGTATATTTTGACGGTACCCCAATGGGGTTGCTTTAAAGGCAAAAGGGAACCACCGATTTTGCAGACTCCCCAGACAAACTCATTTGAGAGCATGATAGTTCGCAAAACAGAAAACGACATATGGGCAAACCAAAGAGCAACCAAACAAAACAGGCCTTGGTTCCAAGCCGGTGGTCTAAACTCGTGCTCCGCCCGGCGCGGCCACCTACAACTACACTTTCCGGAAGAACAGGTGACCACCTCTTTCCCCGTAACCCACTCAATCTGAGGTTTGACCTTCTGCGGGGATTGATTCATCCGACCTTCACATTGCTTTACACACAGGTGTGTCTCTAGTGTGTTCTGTCAGACGTGATATGCTGGGAGCCCCAGAGAAAGTGGTGGACCGTCATACCCAGGCCAATAGACTAGGAGCTACAAGAGACTCTGCCGGAAGTCTGCGAAAACCCTGGCTCTTGGATAAAGCTCCGGCTCACGATGTGTAGGAGTCGCCTGTAGATCGTTTCTTCATCTAAGGCTTGCAAGTGCTTTCGTCTTAAAAATCCGGGAAGCCCCAGAAAAACGTCCAAAAACGGACGGACTTCCCTTTGGCTTCCATTTAAATTTAAATCCACCCCACAACTGTCCCAAGTAGAAAACAAGAGACTGCATTGGTGTGTGCTTCGCATCCAAATCAGTTCCCGCGGCCCGATTCGGGCCATCCCCGCTGTTTCCTGACAAAAAGACTTCTGCACCAAATCTTGCTGGTGAGGGTTCGATTGCCGGAACGCCATCTCCGCTGTTTCCTGACAAAAAGACTTCTGCACCAAATCTTGCTGGCGAGGGTTCAATTGCCGGAACAACGAAAAACAATTCCTTTGCAGCTGTGAGAGGAACCCAAACGGTTCAGTCCAAACCGCCTCTTGATTCGCTAGTGACAACCTTCGCGACGTTTGACCCTCTCAGAGGCCCCGACTTCTCCAGCACGGAGTCTGTGGCCTGGATTTCCTGATGTAGGTCCTGGCGAATCAGCAACCGGTTCCTTGACCGGACCACACCCCCCGTGTTCTCAACCACCAATCTAAACAACCAACTCGAGGGAAGCTGAGGGAAGTAACCCTGTTGCACGAAATCCTGCAGTTGACTGGGTCTGGAAAATGTTGACTGGGTCTGGAAAATCCAACCTGTCTCAACCAGAAAGTGATTCAGTTCCAATATCCGTTTCCTAACAGCCAGCCAGCTGGGTGGTTAAGCCCAATAGCTTGAAATGAGCCACTTGCTCGAAACCCGAATAAGTGAAGGTTAGTAGGGGACGATCCCAGCTATACATAGCTGCGGATGTCCGGCTTCTTAGTTCTTGAAGCATGGTTCTGGGTCGACCAGTTTTTGTACCGGGTGTTGATGGTTAAGCAGAATAGCTTGAAATGGCTGTGGCTCAAAACCCAGGAAACCCCTGGTGAACATCAAACTCGGTGATGCCTGGGCGTGCATCCGCCCCAACATGGGAGAAATGCATAGGCTATTTGGCCCATGACCAGATGGCTTTTTCGGCGGGAGAGTCCACGTCTCCGCCTGGAAGAAATCGAAGCTGGCGACGTAGTCGTCCACCTCATCCGGCGCCATCGGCGCCCGACGGGGACTCGACATCCAAACGACACCCCAAAGCCGTGGCGCGCTTCAAAAAGGGGCCCGAAGGGAAGCCAAACTGAGTGATTTGGCTGTGGCTCAAAAAACCGGTACCCAAAATGGAACCCTGGGAAGTGGAAACATGGGTACCAAAATCTGCGGTTTGCCCCTCCGATCGTTTAATTTTGAGCCACACCCATTTACCACCAGAATGGTGCAGACCCACTTTGTCTAAAGTTCGGACCCCAGGGAGTGAGAAAGCGAGAAGTCAAGGCCGCAGGCTTGGCCACAAGTTCCCCCTCAGTGCACCTCTCAACTCCAAAGAGGGCGTTAAGGTTTGTTTGTTTTAGGGGGGGTTGGGCACATTGCTACCCTTCTGCCAGCCTATAATATGTGATATGTGTACAGGACTTCTTTGCGCGTCTCTGTTGCGAGGGAGACATTTCTTTGATGGCTTAAAAGGGAAACCAAACGGGGCCAAAAGGGAAACTGCCCATCTTCCTAGGGGCTGATTCCCCATTCTTGTCAACAAACCGATCGCTGTTTCCCCGGGGGTTTGGTTTTCTAGCAAGATTCGGATGCCTGGAAAGAATGGACATGGAAGGTACCCCTAGAATTTTGGGGGGTACACACACATTTGGCTGTGGGTCAAAATCCCGCACCCCCCAGTGAACATCCCAATCCCCACTAAATAGGTTCTAAAATGGGTGGTGAATTCACCTACCAACCAAAATGGGATCCCATTAGTTTTGACCCACACCCAATTTGGGCTGTGGTTCAAATCTTTGGCTGTGGCTCAAAAATAGGTACCCCAAGTGGAACCCCGGCAAGTGGAGCCATGGACCAAAACCTGCAGTCCGATTCCTGGTGGTTTAATTTTGACCCATACCCATTTGGGCGCTTACATGACCCTCAGAAGAGAAGTGTGTTGCTCAGCTCCCGGCGCTCTCTTCCTCCAAGAGCATGAGCTGGCTATCGATGTTGGTCGCCACCTTCTTCCTGGACATTCGTTTCGGTTGACCCCTCCACTGAATGTTGATGTCCACCATGTCGAGCCCCTAATCAAGATTCACACCCAGATGATCTTAGGAAACATTTGGCAATCTGGGATTTCCTAGGCGAACATGTTGTTTCCTCTAGGTACGCCACACTGGCATCTTCAGGGGAGCTAAGGACCTGAGCAGGGCTCAAGAGTCACTTCTTTGGGGCAACAAGGCAAGCCCATTCTTGGGGCGCAAAAGTTACAAAGGGCTTGTGGGACCGAACACATCCGCATCCGGACATCCGCCCAATTTCCATGTGGCGCTCCTGCCTCACTTCAGTCTGAGCTTCTGATTTTCCGCCAAAATAATGTCTTTCCAAAAAGTAGAAAGTCCATCGAACCCAGGGAGCGAGTTGTTGGTCTCCTTGTGGTTTCCCGACAAAACAACCCCAAAAATTGCCACCCTCAAATCCTCAAAAACAAGCTGTCTGTCCCTTTGCACTTGGCTTCCCTGCGTCTCAGCGACCCCCAGCTCCAGTGCCGCGGCCACAGGGTCCTGCGAGTGCGTGGCAGAAGAAAAACCCGGCGTTTCGCCCCATAGGTGGGCAACCACCCTCTCAGCTCATCAACCGGGCGCGTTCCATTGAACCCATCGCCACTTTTGGAGGTTCCCTTGAAAGGCTAGGTCCTCCAGATTTGCGAGGTTAGAGTAAGTTGGTACCGTTTCTTTTTTCTGGTTTGTCTATTTTAGTAGGGGAACCCTCCCAACCAAAAAGGGGAGAGAAGGGCACAAGTGGGGGACCTAGCTGACTCCCAAATGTCCCTTAAAAATGGGTTATTGCAACCCACAATTATGGGGTGAATGGCCTTTTTGTATGGACAGTTTGAGGGTTCATGCAGGCATTTTCGTTTTTTTGGTTTTGCCAAAGCACTGGGGTACCTTCCCAAGATGGAAAAATGGAATCACTGGAAACGTTTCTACAATGTCTGAAGGGTGATTCTGTCACACCAAAGATCAGCCATGCTTTTCGGAGGGAACGGTCCTGGTATTCCCTAAGCATGGGTTTGCCCTCTTTTGGCCCCCAGATCGGTGAGCTCGCCAGACCAGGCAGAAACATCACTAGTGTGACAGTCCTCTAGACAAAGCGGACTAAGAGAGATATTTCCAGTAGTGATAAGTTCCCTACAGAAGTGACCAACTTGACGGCCGCGATCTGACAAAGACTTTTCAGCCAAGAAGCCGAACAAAGGAAAGTTCAGCTGTGTGGAAACCAGCATGTTGAAACCCAACTCACTTACCTTGTGGGCACAAATCAATGGACCCTTGCCAAAACGAAACCCAGAACTAGTCGCTGTGCCGTTGTTGTCGCCGTGCGCACATGTCTGCGTGGGCGTGCGCGCTCTGTGCGGGTGTGTGGGTGCGTGTCTGTGTCTGTGTCTGTGTCTGTGTCTGTGTCTGTGTCCGTGTCTGTGTCTGTGTCTGTGTGTCTGTCTGTCTGTCTGTCTCTGTCTGTGTCTGTGTCTGTGTCTGTGTCTGTGTCTGTGTCTGTGTCTGTGTCTGTGTCTGTGTCTGTGTCTGTGTCTGTGTCTGTGTCTGTGTCTGTGTCTGTGTGTCTGTCTGTCTGTCTGTCTCTGTCTGTGTCTGTGTCTGTGTCTGTGTCTGTGTCTGTGTCTGTGTCTGTGTCTGCGTCTGTGTCTGTCTGTCTGTGTGTATGTCTGTCTTGTGTTTTCGTGTGTCTCTCTGTGTGTCTGTCAGTGTGCGTGTCTCTCTGTGTGTCTGTCTATGTGTATGTGTCTGTGTGTGTGTGTGTGTGTCTGTGTGTGGGTGTCTGTGTGTGTGTGTGTGTCTGCGTGTGTGTCTGTGTGTCTCTGTGTGTGTGTGTGTCGGTTTGTGTCTGTGTGTCTCTGTGTGCGTGCGTGTCTGTGTGTTTGTTTGTTTGTTTGATTGATTGTCTGTTTGATTGCTTGTTTGCTTGTTCTGAGTATGTACATGTGCATATATGCGTGTGCGTTTGTTTGTGTGTGTGTGTGCGCGTTCACGTGTCTGCGTATTTCCGCATGTGCGCGTGTGATGGTGAGTGGCTGCTTGATCAGGTGTGCGCGTGCAAACGTGCGTGCGTGTGCGTGTGTCCGGGTGAGCGGGTGTGCGTGCGAGTGAGCGTGTTTGCGCGTGCGTGTGGGTCCGCGCGGCGTGCTTGCGGGTGTGCACGTCTGTGTATGTATCTGTGTTTGTGTGTGTGTGTACGTACGCGCGCGTGCCTGTGCCCGTGCCCGTGCCCGTGCCTGTGGTTGTGGTTGTGGTTATGTTTGTGTTTGTGCATGTGTTTGTGCTTATGATTGTGTTTGTGGTTGTGTTTCTTTTGTGCGTGTGTGGGTGTGGGTCTGGTTTGAACCACCAGCTAAACCAGGGCCCTTTATTTTTCAACCAAATCAACAAACAAGTACACCTATGTATCCATTTTCGATGTGTGTGCTTGCGCGTTTGCAGGGAAATCCAAAGGGGCATGTTGCCCTCCGGCCTGGGCACCGCCCTCAGCCTGGGCTTCGAGCCTAAGTCGTCAAGACCCATCCAAAACCAGGGTGGCGGTTGTCTGAGAAGGTTGTGTCGTTCTCTTGGAGGGTACCCCTCTACTAGGTCCTCCAGTAGAGAGCTTAGAGTAAGGGTACCCGACTTTTCTCTGTAGTCTATTTTAGTGCAAAGAGTAAAGGGCACTACTGGGGGACCTAGTCTACTGTGCGGTTTCAAAGGGAAACCAAAAGGAATGCCACGATTTTGCAGTCCCCTGACACTTTGGATACACAAAAGAAGCCCAGTGGTCATGTGGAATCAAGGGCACCTGTTTTGTTGATTGACTTTCAAAGGAATCATACGTTCCTCCCCCGAACAAAAATAAAAAACACAAATGGACAAAGGAATACTCGCGTCGTATCGGGGCCCAACAGCCCCGGAACCCCTCCAGAAGGGAGCTTTGGGCCTATCGACCCAAAGCTTCCAGCGGTTGGTGACGCAGACTTTCATCAACACAAAGCAAAGGCGGCCAAACCACTAAAAAGAAGGGGGGGATCCCCCCTCCCCACTGAATTCCATTCCCCCCAATTGGGTTCCACCCCTGCCGGGTTCGCCCCGCGACCAAAGTGGTCGAGTCAGGGTTCCGGGCAGCTGCTGCAGGTCGCTGAAGTCCAAAGGCCTCGCACTCGGCGCATTCGCATGCGATCCATCACGTCTCAGCCATTCTTCGAATCGGATTGCCCCTAATCATCTCATCTCATAGGTGGTTTGGATTGGTGTCTTGGAAGCTAGGGAGTGGTTTCCCATTTAGCCTCTATAAGAAGGTGTTCAACTCAACTATATACTCCAGTAGAGAGGTTAGAAGAAGGGTGCCAACTATTTTTCTGTAGTCTACTTTAGTAGGGGAACCCTCCCAAAAAAGAAGGGTAAAAGGGCACTACTGGGAGACCTAGTATAGAGGGGTTCATACTTGAGTCTGCTTTTGGGGGACCCCTCCAAAATGACTGTCAGTGCTCCTTTTGGTTTCCCTTTCTGTCAACCCTCCCCCGGCGACAAAAAAAAGGGGACAACCAGATGCACATTTAAGCAAAAAGAACGGGTCACTCCAAAGGCCAGACCCATAATTCCCCGAACGTATTGATTTCGCGCAACCCACCACCCGAGAACTTCCTCGATCGGATCTCGGATCGCTTGGCACCCCCGGCTCAAAGCCAGGCTCCTCCATGGCAACACGATCCTGGCAGGGCTTTGGCCCCATTGGCCAGCCCATTGTGCGGTCACCACGCTGACAAACAAAAACACAGGGGCTTGAAAAGGATGGTAATCGGGAAATCATGGATACTATGACACCTACTACCCTCCCCCCTCAAGTATCAGGATTTGGGCTGGTGGTTAGGGCGTTAATTCTGGGCTGCCCGAGATTTGTGTTCCAGAAGGAGAATTAGATCCCAACATCACCTGTGCAAGGAGTTGGATCCTCTAAATCAGGCAAGGTTTCACAAGCCCCCAGTCACTCGTGCCTGACCCGAAGGGTAAACAAGGAGCCCATTTTGGGGGCCCCATTTTTTTCCAGGGAGCCCTGCAAACAAGGGAAATCGAGTGACACTTAACAAACCACACACTTGGCAAACCTATACACGACCAACCTATTGTTTGTAGATACGAATTCTCTGGTTTGCAGATACCCAACACTATGGCGACACTTCACCACCAAACTGGTTTTCGCAGTTACCAGTGGGTCTTCGCCAGACAAACATTTTTACGTCTAGATGCATCATGGTTTTGCCTGGCCACCTGCTTTGGGGGGAACTGGGTCCTCTGGGGGTGAACTTTACCCCTAATCACATTGATCATCTTTATATAGACAATGATTGACAGGATTGAAATTGGCAAAGGGCACTTGTCTATCAAAGGGCCCCCCCTGTCACCAACTCACTTTTCACTTTGGACTCATGGACCAGGTGCACTTCTCGAATTTAGGACTTGTACTCCGGATGACTGCGCTTGACGACCAGGCTAAGACCCCTGCAAGTGGACTTGTTGCTGGTTGAAAGACACAACTGTGGAAAACCAAGGCAAGACAACGAACAGGACAACCAAGTCTTGGCAATTGCCTAAGGGTCCATTTGGGACCATGGACCAAAGATCCGGTCGATTCGCTTTGGGCAACGGGGGTCATACTGTATACTCCCGAAATGAAAAGCTCATCAACCAGGCGCGCTTTCCTGGAGGTTCCTTTGAAACGCTAGGTCCTCCAGATTTGAGAGGATAGAATAAGGGTACCAACCTTTCTTCTGTAGTCTGATTTAGCAGGGAACCCTCCCAACCAAAAAAGGGGTGACAAAGGGCACCTTGGGGGGACCTCGAAGGGAAATGGCCCCGCAAACGCAAACCGGGTACCCGAGAACGCCAAGATCGCCTTCTCGGTTTTAACCAAACGGGTTTCAGAACAACTCCACGGCCCGGCCACGTCGGCAGGCTTCGGATCGCCCGTGAAAGTTCGCTCCGAAGCGGCCGTTTTGGTGCCATGCTGGGGCCCGGGTAGCTGGATCCATTGTCCAACTTTAGTTCTGGTGGGGGGAAGCCCTTGGCTAATGTTGACTCCTGATTAATAGTAAACCCCCACTATTGTTTAAGGGGGGGTCCCTTTTAAATATTATCCCTGATGCTGAGTTGGGTTCTTTTTGAATGAGGGGTCAACATTACCCACCACACTGCAAATGCATCTCCTGGGATGGTCAATCTGCCGTTGTGCCGCATGGGTGAGATGCAACCAAATACTGTCCATTGGATATAAAAACGAAGGCGCCCTTGGCGCTTCTCCTACGGTCTGTGCAAGTTCTGAGCCTGAGGCTCCAGGAGGTATTCGAAAACCCTCAAAAGCTACCCCTCAGTCACCTAGGATTGAATTGGATACCTAAAAGAATGTTTTAGGTGACACCTAGACCTAAGCCCACTTGGGACTCCCAAAGCACATGTTGGAGTTCTTTGGTAGTGCCCTTCCCTTCCCGAATCTGACAAAGCCCAACCGATCGCATGGCCTGAGGTTGCAAGCGGCAAAGCGCCGCTGACCCAGTAGCGGTGATGTGACTGGAGTCAACACCCTTGAATAACCGAAAGGAAACTGGCGAGGGGTTACCCACTATGGGGGTTTGCCTGGGATGCACTGGAAAGATCTAACACATGTTTAGCAACTTTAGACTGGGGTGGGGTGCTGTTTATCCCCAAACTCCCGTGAGAGAATCTTGTTTATCTGGGTGTCTTTGGTTGGAACCTCGGAACCGTAGCCCAAGACCCGAGTTGACAAGTGGGCTTGATTCATCGTCTGTTTCTTCTTCTTTCCGAGCTGTGCCAAATGATACAACACCGTTTGGTTTCGATGATCGCTAGTGGCTTGGTTCTTTCAGCTCGGGATCTGCATGCCCAAGCCTTTTTGGAGTTGTCCTCGGGCATCTTTCACCGAGGTCTAGATCGATGTGCAAAAAAACCGCGGGCGAGCGGATTCGCAGACATGTCCACAACTTGAACCCCAGTTTGCATCCTGAATAATCCAGAGGAAAGCAAAGCTATGAAATTGTGGTTAGCCTAAGTGTTGCATGAACATGCAAAACACCTTGACCACGGTGCGGTGAACCGTGTTCTTACAGTCCAAGAAATGCAACGCACCCCATGGGCATGCAGGGAAGGGGCGCTGGGCACTTCAATCTTTCTTTACGGTACGCCCCCTGCTGTGGGAAATTCCCCATGAAACCCCTTCGGGGGGGCGGGGGGGGGGTGGCGAAAAGTCGCATTTGGTTTGGCTGGGGAAGTAAATTGGCCGAACTTCCAAACCCTTGACCTACCACAAGCTCTGCCACAACTTTTTCCGAGCACGGATCGGCTCCCACCTGGCATTTTAGCGAAGGCTCCGGATCGTCTGCTCAGAGTTCAACCCGGATTTCCTTTTGGAAAATGGGTCTCATTGTTCATTGGGGACCCTTTGGTGAACATCATGCTGACTTGTGCCCAGCAGTTTTCACAGGGGATTCCCCATTGAAACTCAATGCCAAATGGATCATCTGGGAGTAGTTGTCTTGCCTCCAAAACCACCCACCTTCGGCACACATTTTATGCCCGGCACAGATCCGGACAAAAGCCCCAAGTTGAAGCCGGCGGGCCAAACAGATCCGACCTGCAAAAGTTGACCAATGTGTTTCTTTTGTAGAGGGAAAACGAAGGCAAAGTCAAGAGTTGATTGGAAAGAAACCCCAACAAGGTACCAAACATGGTATGGCAGTCCTCACCCCAAACACCGATTTAATGGTGGAGGACTTGTGTCTAACCTGGGTTTCGATTGAGGTTTTTTTTTGGCGGAACCGCAGACCCCTTCGTCTGCGTTGCCACATGTGGCCCCTACCGCGTCCAACAGTCAAAGGAAGCCATTCCGGGACCCCGGTTCACACCAAAGCCCGGCTGTTTGGGTGTCGGCAGTTTCCAACTTCCTGAGTGGATCGCCCAACAAAGTCCAAACTTGTTGTATGCCACTAAAATGGTCTTCCATGGTCTTCCCCTAAGTGACTAAAGTCCGAAACGGAACTCAGGAAGTCAGACATGGGTTTAAAGGGAAACCACTACCAAAAGTAAGCTTTACCCGTTTAAAGGACCCAGAGTTCGTGAATCCCCCGAAGTGTTTGTGTCACTAGTCACCCCTCCAACTGACCAAAAAATTGTCAACTCCAAACTTAAAAAAGTGAACCAAAGTCCGACACGGAACTCCGGGGAAGTGATCCCCAAACCAGCGCTCGTGCCGATTTCTGTTCGCCCGCCTTAATCGTCCTGGGGGATGGGTGGGGCCATCTCGCCCAGATCTTCCGGCAGAGGCTTCTCGTCCTCGTCCTGTCGAGAATCCCAGCTTCCCTCCGCTTCTTGGTGTCAGCCGCTGCCAGGCGTAGGTAAGGTACTTTTACAAGTTGTTACATGATGGTTCTCGTGAGTTGGTAACCTTTTAGGGGGTGGAGTTAAAAGGAAACCATCGGGAAAACCACCATTTTGGAGGCTCCCAAAGAAAGACGCACCCAAATGATGGTTTTCCCGTACCTACTATGACTATGATGGAAAATGGAAGCCAAGAGGAGTCTCTGAATTTGAGGGTACACAGTTGAGGTGGTTGAACAGGACACCAAGAGGAAACCGCCATTTCGGAAGGCCCTCTACTTTAACACATATATATAACCAATTGGTGGTTTGCATTTGCCCTCAAGAACAGAGGTTAACATCCAACCTATCCACCCGTGGGTTACCTGCACCGTAGTCTCATAGTATGCACATGTCTTGGCTCCAAACCACGAATGGTGGACTTCGTTTGCGTGGCAAAATGTTGACTCCGGATTCATGCCCCCGTCCTATTCATAGGGGTCTTTCCTCTAATTGACCCCGAGAAAAAAGGGGGGGGAGACCCCGATCAAAATCAGCCAGTTTGCAAAGAACCTAACATGGCATGGAACAGAGACCACGCAACCCCTCCAGATGGGAGATGAAGGGCGAAGGCACTTTGACACCACCCAGACACCCAAGACAACCTCGAAGCCAAAAGACCCTCCCAAGGGTCTCCACAAGCCGAAGCTTCGGCTCCAATGTCAGAATCTCCAGGAGGAAATGGACACGAGGACAAGTCAGTGAGGCCCAGCAAAATAAGCGAGAGTGAGGCAACCACAAAATGCAAGAGGCTTGAGCCCAACGCTGATGAGTGCAGAAACCTTGGATGAGCCATCCGAACCGGAGCAAACGGCACCGTCCATCAGCTTCCCTCTACTTGGTGGTTTGGACTGGTGTCCCATTTACCCTTCAAAAGAGGCAGCAATTCAAACCCCCCAAACCACCAATGCAAAGCACCAATTGAGGGTTGCCTGAATAAAATGACAACTGTCTCCCGCAAAAAGTCGACATGGAATCATCCACACAGAGTTCCCAGGCCGAGGGACGGGCACCCGTTCTTGTTGTTGGTTGATTTAAAAGGGACACCCCCTCAGCTTGATCTTCCAGGACCCTGAAAAAGCAGGCCTTGAAAAATCAGGCAACCAAAAAAAGAAAAGAAAAGAGAGACCAAAGGGCACCACTGCCCCGGTTGACCTGCAGCTCCGATCACCAAACAGGCACTCTGCAAAACGCATGAGCGCGTTCAGCATCTTAAGTTGCACGCCAACTGGTGGCTGGTTTGGAAGCGGGGCATAGAGTCCCTCATTTACCTGGCACCCGTTCCAACAGCTACCACCAAGTTTTTCGGGCAATCTGAGTCTTCACCCCCATGGGTTTTGCATTCTTTGAAGGTCGAGCTGCCATTTCTCTCCCTGAGTGAACACCCAGACTCACAAAGGGGATCCCAGGACTGCTTTGCCTTGCCAAAACTACTGCAGGAACTGCCAAACTTGCTGGTTGTCAGCAGGGAATGAGGGAATGACCACTATAAACCATCCCCTATGCTTTCTGTGAAGGGAATCCCCAGGCTCATTGTCACCACTCGGTCTCGGTCATTCCCTACCTATCGCACCGCTGCTTCCCCGAAATCGAGGCCCGGACGTAGTCCCGGGAGGCGCGTGCTGCGCGCCAGCCGCCCGCACTGCTGTTGCCTTAAACGCAGAAGAACTGGCCACTGGGAAAAGCAAACACGGTGCAAAAAGGACAGCCAGCAAAACCCGTCCCTTGCCAAGCTTCGCCCCCTTTGTGTCTCTTTTGTGGGTTGGAAGTAGTTTCCCTGGTTTTGTAGGGAACCAAAGGGTGCTTCTTCCTTGGGTTACAGTAAAGGGGTCCCAATTTTGCAGTGGCGTTCCAGTAGGGGCTAGGCCAATTCGGATAGACCACTCCATCTTGAACGGACCAATCCCGGTGATTCCATTTCCCTGAGTCGTTACATTTCTTGAGGGTGATTATTTTGACTCCGGACGGTTTTGCCTTGACGGCTGCAGGTATGGATGCGCTACAAGTTAACCCAGTGGCTCCATTTGCCTGGTTTTGTAGGTAACCAAAGGCTTGCTACCTGATATAAAACCCCAAAGCAAAATGGTAACCTACTATACTGGAAAGCAAAACTAAGCCACGGGTGGTTACACTCCAACAATCATAGAAGCTGACTGAAAAGGTTTTGGAAGACTACTTTTCTTTGGGGAAGCCCAATCGTCCACACACATGATTCTTGGAAAGAGGGTATATTGAACCAGAACCACACACCGTTCTTTTTGGCAACCCACAAATCCTTACCTGGACTGGATAATGTCGGCGGTCGCATAGGTAGGTTCCAAGCTCCAACCGTCGATAGGCGCTTCTCCCCTGACCCTTCGATCCATATTGGTTCCAATCCCCCAGAACCCGGGTGTGCAACCCGATGTGCGGGTTTGCTTGTGTGCATATGTGTGTGTGTGTGTGCTTTTTGTTTTGTGAGGTCTGAGGTGCCCTTTCCTGAATGGTCAAGGAAAACAAACAGGAAAGCCGTTGCGTCCTCTCTCTCTCTTTTTTTTGGGGGGGGGTCCGAGCTTAAGACAGGACAAGCCGCCTGTTTCTGCGAGGGCTTGACATATGGTCATAGCAATGGCCCGACCCGGTGCTGCCAGCTCATGACAAAGTGCCTATCCCTCCAGCCCCCGGTATAAATTGCCCAGGCAAGCCATAGGCAACCAGGGGAAACCATCTAGATAGCTCGTCTGTTTTTGGAGAACCCCCAAAAAGGGTGGATTTCCTTTTGCATGTAAAACCATCCAAAAAGAAAAGTAGCCTCAAAAAGACACGCCCATCAGCAAAAATACAGAAGAGTTGCCGTGGCGAACCGCCGGAGGAAGCACTGGCAGATGGTTCACGCCTTGTTGCCACCCTTGTTTGGCAATTTGATATACCTGTGGCTTCCCGGCGGGTACATTGTTTTTCTGCTGCTTGGTTAAAAACAATGTGTTCCATCGAGACGGCACTCTTTCGCGACACTTTTGCAAGTTGAGCATTGCAGGCGGTCGCTTGCCAAATCGAAACGGCAACTTTTCCAGTCCAAACGGCAACTGTTCCCGACCCTCGTGAAGTCGCAGGTATAGCCACTTTGCAGCCACTATTTATATATTTATGTATATAGTGTATATATATATATATACAATATAAAGGGTATCTGTCCCTGACTTCCCCTCAACTCTTGGATTGGAGGTGGGAAAACCATCTTACTTGCATGTTCAACTTTATCATAGTTTTATATGAATGCAACTATGATTCTAAAGGGCTCAGGGGAGTAAAACAAAGAGCAAAACAATTGCAGGATTCTTCTATGATCCTTCTTGCATTTGGTTTGAACAAGAACTCTTACAGGCCTTACAAGGACAAGAGTCCTTGTAAGGCCTTGTATAAGAGTCACTCTAAGGTCTATTTTGCGCATGTAAGGGCATTTATATATTTTTTAACGTCCTTATAAATTTGCTATGTTGTTTGTTGCTTCTTCTTTTTTGTATTGTTATATTTGTGTCACCTATTAGCTGCTCGTTTTTCACTATTAGGTGACCCCCCTGGCAACTCGCCTTCCCTGAAGGAGTCGGGTTTCCGTGTCCGGGGCTCGAGAATTGATCCCGAGATCCCGCACCCACGCGCCGGCGCGGGGAGAGCGACCGCGAGCGCTTGCGGCCTGAAGCGCCCGGTGCTTCCAGTGAGGCCAGGGGAAATCACCAGGGGACCTGATATAGTGGCATCTGGAAGCACTGGGATGGTTGTGTTTAGGCTTCAGGAACGGTAGGCAGCCAGGCGAGGAAACCAAAACTGGGCTGTCCAAACCTGCTGAAAGTTCAACTTGTGGGTGAAATGGACACCCCCACTATATAAACCCTAACAGCCTAAAACCCTAAGGGCATGGTGAGTACCTGCTATGGTGGCAACTGGAAGCAGTGGGGTAGTTGTGTTTAGGGTACCCCGCTTTTGGGGGTTGCTTTAAAGCCACAAGGAAATCGTCCATTTGAGGGTTCCGATTCCTATCTTGATCTGGGAGTCTATGAGAAAAGCCCAACTGGGCCTTCAAATCGGTGCACGGATCCTCGAGACCGCCTATTGCCCAAAAAAGAACCATGGAAACAAAAGAATGCAACCAAAAGGGAAAACCAAAGGCCGGTGTTGAACAGAGCCAAAGCTCACTTGCCAGAAATCCCAAACCAGCAATCCAGCCAGGGCCAAGGGTGCAACTGGTAGCCCCTTTTCTCCAAAAAAAAATGGGTGCCGGGTTCACCGCGGGTGAAACCACTGCCCCTCTGCCTGGTCTCACAGGGCTCTTTGGGCGCAAGGTGTCGATCTCGGAGATACTCCTGCAGCTGGGAGTCGGAACCCTCGGATTCGATTCGCGTCCCATCCGAAAGGGTTCCATCCCCTGACCCAACCCCCCAAAAAAAAGACAGAAATAGAAAACAAAACAAAAACAATCAACAGGCCCACAAAAAAAATATATTTGGATAACTTTCAAAACACGAACAGAGCCTTCATTCATCCAGAGCCGAGTCCAGCTCAGGGAGACTACAGAAAGGATGCCTTGAACTCACGTGGATCAGAGACTTCTCCCACTGACCGGGTCCTAGAGCAAACCCCAACGAAGAAATATGACAGTTGAGCCTTAGTTAGGGCTTGTGTATATTTGTTTTTATGTTTGGCTTATTCCTTAAGGGGTATGTTCCAGGTGTTCGGTGATACAACCTTTGAACAGAACCTACCCCGGGGACCCCGGCTCCATCGAATCTAACGAGTCATCTTTTGAGGTCCAAATTGTGTTTTCCAGGTCCTCCAGTAGAGAGATTAGAATAAGGGTACTCTTTTTCTGCAGTCTATGTTAGTAGGGGAACCCTCCCAACCAAAAAAGGGTGAGAAAGGGTACCTAGCTGGGGGACCTAGTTTTGGTCTGAACACTTTGCCCAGCACTTCGGCGAGTCGTCACGGATAGCACTCGCAAGTTTTCCCCAGGGATGCGACGCGTCATGGCGAAACGCCGAAGGGAAGTCCTGGGTTGGAGAGGGCACCTGAACTTCGGGTAACCAGAGAAGCCATGCTCAACCCCACAACCAAAAAAAACCAACGGATGCGGCTCTCACGACCATTTCAGAAAACCTGCTGGCTGGTCACATCGGGGCTTTGGATATGGAGCCGTCTTTTTGGTGGGTACCCTCTTTGGGGTTGGTTGAAAGCCGGAACTACAAGAATAACCCTCTGTTTTGAAACAAACCCTCCAAGCAATTATCTTTGTTCCCCCGCTGAAAGCTTTGGGTCGTCGATGGGCCCACATAAGCTCGGGGCTGCTTTCAGGGGTTCCGGAAGGAAAAACACCGGGGGTTCCGTTTCTGCCCGGGAGATCTGGCTTGATGTGGGATGGGGCCCTAGCTGCCCAAACGAAAAGCTTCGGCGGAAGGACTTGGTCCATTGGTCACACGCGCTCTCAAGCAGTTACCAGTCCCCAGCAGGCGGCCGCCCTTGTAATCTTTCGCCTGGCGAAAGAAACAGACAGCGTTCCCGAGCATACCTCCCCATGATTTGAAGGAGTTGGCACTGCGTGGGGGTTAGTTGGGATAGAGTTCTCAAAACACGTAGGATCTGCTATGTTCACAAATTTCAGCTGGTTGGTTGTTCTCCCACGTTCCAACCCTGTCCTAAGAGCGAGCAGAATTCTGTAAATGCGGTATTTCAAGAACTGGACAAATCGGACCAGAGCTCATGACATTGGCTACAGCCGCCTGGGCTGCCCGCCCACCAACATGGAACCTAGCAAGATGCCTCTTGAGGAAGATGGTTTTCTGGGGAACCGCAGTCATGTTTGTCTCAAACTGTTTTGTTTCTAAAACCAAGCACAAGTCGGTTCCATCAAAAAGCAGACGAGCCGCCGACCATTTGTGGGGGGGCTAGGAGCCCCAAAACCCGGTTGCGAAAACGTCCGGTTGCGTCCGTGCAACCCCAAAAAGGAAATGATACTTGAGTTGTTGGGGTTTCTCTTCCCGGAAAAAAATAAGTCCATGGACTCAGGAAGTGAGATCTGACAGATACCCATATTCTGGGAGCACCCCCCCGTTTCCGGTGGTTTCCTATTGGCGTGCCTTCGCCCAAAAAATGGCCCTCCGACGCACCCGTAGCTTTCGCTAGTGACCCTAGATTAAGAAACCCCTTGTTGAGTCATAAAGGTGTTCCCCTCCAGAAGTGATGAACCTCCACCCCCACATTACTCGATTCATCCTGGCTCACGTTGCCACTCAAACTAGTCACTTTTTGGGTTGGAGCCTTCAAGCGGCAAATAAAGAGTTTGGACTTCTTCAGGCCACTCCACTCAGGAAGTGAGTCTTCGTTCCGTCCACCATTCAAGCCATCCAGCCCGGACCCCCACTTCGTTTTTTGGAAGGGTCTTCATTTAAATTCAACTACCGAAACAAGGGTGCCCCTTTTTAAAGGGCTCCCATGAAAACCCTCTCACATGGGTAGGAAGTTGGTTCCTGGAAAGGACCTTTTCAACCCAAACGGTATGGGCTCGAAAAGACAGACTGTTTTTTGCAGCCCCCCCAACCTAAACCATGCCAACAACAACATACGTATGCTGGCATTTCGAGGTCAAAACATAGACGTTCTTCGAGGTTTACTCTCGGACTAGATTTCGGCCGTGATTGCCTGGTGGTTTCTCTTTAATTTTGACATTAAGTGTCGATGATCGGTCCCAGTGCATTCCCCTTGGAGTGCAAGGCTGTTTGCTCGACATTTGAGGACCCTTCAACTGGTATCCATCTTCCAAACATGGGGTCATCGATATATTTGGCTGGTGTACCCACCCCGCAGAACCCACCCCGTTGACCCCGGAACTCCCTGCCTCCGGCCACTGGACTTCGCCCTCAAACCACTTCAGGTAGGTCTGCCGCAAGTCGAGACACGGAAGTCATAATCAAAACCGATCGATATGAAAATGCTCGATCCTCAGAACCATAAAGAATGAAAAATCCAGAATCCGCACTCATATGGTTGGATCGACTATCCCTTCCTAACCTTCATCGTACAAGGCTTTGATTGCGGCTTCGACGGGTTCTCCGTCACTCCGAAAGGACCGAACCGCGTCGAATCGCGACGCCGCCTTGGACCCTGTCGACCCACCATTTTTGGAACGTCAAGGGGTGCTGACAAGGCTCAGCTTGGACATGTAGAGACCCTAGCAAACCAAGTGCGGAGCATCATGCTGCCTGACGTTCCGAATTGATCTGCCCCGTCTCGCCAGCGCCTCTTTGTCCCAATTGTCAGTGGTAAGGCCATTGCCCAGGGTCAGCCAGCCTCCAACTTCACACGAGCGACAAGTGGAAACACGGGCCAAAGTGCAGGGCTGAGATCTCACACGCACAAACAAGCCACTGGGTACTCGTAGTTTAGGGAATCTCTGAACTGGGATGGTGAAAGGAAGAGGGGCCGCCTAAGGCTCCCTAAGGAACACTAAGGAATCATAGGGCTCTCTATCACACACCCTTGTACCTACCCGTGCCTTTCCAAACCGACCCACAAAGAGCGCCCCACGTGCCACCAAAAACATCACCTACGGGTAACTCACCTGAATATTTCGTCCAACGAGTGAATGCTTAACGAGGTAAACATCCACCAAACTGTGGCAGGAAAGCAAATAGCCCTACAGCAGGGGGCAACAACCAATCTTTGGCTTTGATCGCTTAGAAACCCGGGTATTGCAGCTATGGATAAAGGAACACACAACAAGGCAACAAGTAAAAAGCAGTTTGGACATGGTGCGATGTGGCTTCGCATGGTCATGGAAAAGACCCTCAAAAGATGGTCGGACAAGAGTCCCTATGAAGATGATGTCCAAAGGCTTCCTATTTGAGCCAGTATCTTCCTTTTTGTGAGTAGTGTTTGGAGGGTCGGTTTGAAGGGAAGCGGAGACCAAATCCTCTTGCTCTTGGGGGGATTATAGCGCCTGGAGTCTCGATGACCCTTGCAAAATGGGGTCATGACACGTCATGATCCCTTTAGCTGAGGGGGTAGGCTCAGTGCCTCCACTGTAGTAGGCAACCAAGGGAAACTATCATGTACTGTACAACCGAGAGGCAAAAATACCGAAGGGTTACCTAGTATATATTGGTAACTCGAAGCACCGGGTTGAAAACTTGATCGAAAACCCAACCAAATCAACTAAAAACAACCTAAAAAACCCAACCGAACCAACTCAAAGCAACTAAAAAGCTAACTAAACCAACCAAAAACAAACAAACAAAAACTCTAATACCGCACTGGGAGCCACCGAGTTTCACCTCAACTGGACCCCAGATCGTTCCATCCACTCGGGGTCCAGGCCATCCCGGAGGTTCCGGTCACGGCCGAAGAGCTCCAGACGCCTCTCCGGCGCCCGGCCTTTTTTTGGAAATTTTGGGTGTGGCTCCCGTTGTTCTTAAGGTTGGAGCCCCCAAAAGCAGTGGGTTTTCCTCCGTGTTCCTGTGGTACTCCTTTAAAACAACCAAACACGGGGTACCCCGGCAAAAAAAAAGAAACCCATTACTTGTTTGACTCTCAGACTTTGTCTTGTCGGGCTGGGGGGGGGGGGTCTGGTCCCAATGCCTGCGCCCGAGACAGAAGTGCTCGATGGTCTCATAGAGCCTCGCATGGGTCATGGCCTTTGCTCCCGTTGAAAGCATTCCTCACTTCCTAAGTGGGCTGGCCCCAAGACATGTCTAGAGTCTACATGGTCTGTTTCCCGCTAAAATGGTCTTCCCAAGAAATATAAAGTCCGAAACGGAACTCAGGAAGTAAGATTCAAGTCAATACACGTATGTACGTGAAGCTAAGGAATCCTTGAGGAAGCTTCACGAACAGAAGCGGGTAAAACCTAAACAAGCCCTGGTTACAAGTTGACCCCTGATCCAAGTCGAACGCGTCGCGTTCTACTATTGGGGGGGGCTGTTCCCTGCAAAAGTGCTCTGAATTCCCACTAAAAGGGAACACCCTCCTAGTATTCGGGGTCAACAATAGTGGCAACTGGAAGCGCATAACACCCAGTACTGGGGAGTTTCCCCCCGCGCCTTAGATCCGGATCTTGGATTTTAGGGAATGGCTTCCTTCTTCCTTTCAGCTCCCGTCCATGTCGCAATGGAACCTGACGTTTCGGGGTTTCTAGAAGATGTTCCTTTAAAAGGGACAATTTCTCCGGTGGGTTCCATGTGGCAAGGAAGGTATCAGTTCATTGTCCAAACCTCTTGCTCAATTCCTGAGATCCGGCAAGGAAGGTGTTGGATATGGCACTTGTGGGCGCTCGGCGGCATAGGAAACAAGGCGCCCTTGTGTGCAAGTCCTGATCGGTGTGCATTGTGTGTGTGTGTCTTGATTTGAGGGTACCTATTCTTTGGTGTGTTGAAGGGAAACCAAAAGGACACCAACCATTACTCTCTTTTTTTTGGAGGGGGAGACGTACCCGTCTGAAAAAGCAACGCCAAAGGGCTTTAAGCCGCAAGTCCGCTTTAACCAAAGGGTCTCTTTTTCCGGATGGATTTCAAGGGGTTCAAAGAGGTGAACTCACCTCCGATCGAGGGATTGGCTCACAAAAACAACCAAACCTTCTGCCACAATGAACCAGACCCAGAAAGTGACTCTTTAGGCCCAAACGGAACTCAGGGAGTAAGTTAAAGCACCTCAGCTTCCAGCCGCCGATGCTCGGCTCGCGATCGAATCTCGGATCGGCTGGGCTGAAGGCTCTGTGGGCTTCTGAGTGGAGCCAAAGCTCTTCTCCTCCTGGGTTGAAAATTGGGCCCCATTATAAAGAAAATCCATTTCCCAAATGGAGCTTCGTCCACAAATGGTGTTTTTTTTTTTGCGGTTTTGGGAATTCCATGTTTAATACGCAGGGGAGTTGCTACTATCTACGCCCAAACGGGGTTGGGTTGGCACTACTCACTTCCGATCGAGTGGATTGGCCGATTGGCCAGACAGGTATTACAAGCTTTGCTGAACTTTTGGTTTGCCGCTGAAATGGTCTTCCCTAAAGTTCAGGAACCCGGGGCGTGAGACTATCTGTGAAAAGCTCAAACGAAAAGCGCACCCGAAGGAATCCTACCCGAGTGAGCGGTTCCCCTTACGTGTGAGACATCCCATGGTCAGGGGCCCACCAAGGAGGGGACGGTGACAAGGCACCCAAAAGGAACCCTAGGCGTAAAAACACGCATTACTTGGGGGCTTCTTGACAACAATCCTGGTGCACGCCTACAACGAGGGAACAAGTCCCATCAAGGATTGCTTTTGAACAATTCACTGGGTTCAGCCCCCTCCAAGAGGGCAGTAGTCTCAAAAACCAAGTGCACTGGGATAGTCATTCCCTAGATTCAAGAAGGATGCATCCAAAAACTGCCTGTGCCAGGAGATCCTCCACATGGGAAAAGAGTGTTTTTCCTGCTCAAATGCATTTTAGGGCCCCTGTCGGGTGTAAACCCGACTTGGGTTTGACTACCTCACAACCACATTCCGATGATCTAGGCATCACCCCTTCCTGCCCCAAGTCCATTTTTATGGGGGTGGGGAGGCCTTATACCATTATACTGGGTTGTGGGGTATTTCCCGTGACATCCAAACAAAAATCTCCGATACCAAGCCCCGATCCAAACCATCGCCTCGCTCCCCCCCAAAAAAAACAAACAAACAGGTCCTCCATGATGAGATCCACATCGCAATTCGCGTGGATGAAGTGGGTGTCCACTGAACGCTTTACGGTGCCCTGCGGAGGTCCGAAAGAATCCGAATGAAATTATGAGGTATTCTAAAACACACTTTTTGCCAGGCACATAGGAATAAACGATGAGATGCGTAATGTTGCCACTTATATTAGGTTCAACCTGCAACGCAAATGGCACAAGATGATTGTGGGTGTCGCTTGAAAAAGGATTTGGACCCCAATGGAGTTCGATTCCCCTGTGGTTTCCCTATGCGATCAAACAAACGCCCTGAAACAAAACCCTAAGTAAACGGGGATGGCTAAAACAAAATGGGGAATTGTGTCATCCACTTTCACCCTTCACCCACCTGTATTTCCATGAGCCTCCAAGGGATGCTATGGGGGGTCTATCCCACTATCAACATCTCATTGTTTAAGGATCCTAACCTTGTCCAACGATATCCCCCCGCCTATAGCCCCCCCCCACCCCTGGATGTTGAAGCTACTCGTAACTCGGAGAATAACTGATAACCCCCTCTTGTCCCACTTAGCATAACTCGGAACATGCAAAACAACACATGTTTGGGTGTATTTTTTCGAGGGTAGACATAAAGGGAAACCAAAAGGGCAACCACCATTTGTGGGGCTTCAAAATCAAAAAACACATTTACTGGCACCGTCCCATTGGCCAAACAGGAGGAGGACCGGAGACCGAATGAAGCTGGGCTGAAAGGGCCCTTCTCAACCTGACTGGGGGGTTGCTCAATGGAAACCCCGGGCCACAGAACGCCTGGTGATTTTGATCGGGGGTCCCCTTTCAGTGGGAGCTCAGACCACTTTTGGAGGGAACCTATCCAAAGGCTGGGTTTATTTTCCAATCCGGGGTCAAGATTTAATCAGCCCTAGTTATAACCCCGCCCCCCCCGGTTGTTAATGAGGAGAGTCGCCGTGGAAGACAGGATTCCCCACTAAAAAAGGACCCCTTTAACAGTAGGTGGGGCGTTGTATCAGGGGTCAAAATTTTATCAGCTTGTTTTGTTGTTTTGGGAACCACAAGTAACAACAAGTCACCAGCCAAAAGACCGGCCACAGGACAAACTGGAGACCCAGAGTTCTCACCGCCCGACTTTGGAAAGTGTTGACCGGCCACCGATCGGATTCCAAGTCGTATGGCTCAGGGCTCAATAGGGCCAACACCTTCCAACACCCAATGGGGGGGCAATATCGAACTTTTTTTGGGGCTAACAGGGTTTCTTTGGCGTGCCGTTTTGGGGTGTCCTCTCTTCGAGGGGCCTCTGTCAAGGGATCAGTACCAATAGTTTGTCTTAAAATGTTTGGAACGCAACCCCACCCTGGGTGGTTTCCCTTTTGGCTTCCCTTCAAAAACCAACAAAAGTGTTTCCCCCACAAAGGACACACGCCCATCATAGCTGTTCTTCTGGAAAATGGATAGCACTGGCAAATGATTCCAACCAAAGGGAACCAGCGCCATCTCTTTGTAAACAAATTAACGAAGATATTGAGTTGGTCAAGGTCATTGACTCAAAGACCAGCAAAGATCAGCAAAGTCACTCTCGCTCCGAAAGAGGGAGGGCTAAAGAGGACACCTATGACACCCATATGGCTGTGAATTTATTTGGGGGGTATGTAACGCGCGAAACGCCACGAATCTTGTTACGGAGGTCTGTAACGGAGGTCCTTGCACGCAGGTCTGTAATGGGAAAACATTTCTTGACAAGTATCAGTATCAATAACACAGTGTAACGCAGAACAGCGCCGAGCAGCAGTTCCCACTCGAAAGTCGCAACTGTTCAGTACAAGCGCAGCACGCGAAGCGCGCCTCCGCTGTTCCAGCTTGAAATTTGCAACTGCCGACACAAAGCCAAGCGATGGCAGGTCACTGGCCCAGGCTGGGGTTGGGTCTGCAACGAGGTATGTAACGGCGTAACGAGGTCTGTAAGAGGCAATCCAAAGCGCAGTACGCAAAGCGTGGCTCCGCGGCTCCAGCTTGATTGCAGCTATTCAACGCAAGCCAACCTGCGCGGCTATGTAACTCTGCAACGAGGTATGCAACGGCTATGTAACAAGGCGTGTAACGAGGTATAGCGGCCCCTGTTCCAATTCCTAGTTGAGTGGCAAGCCCTCTGCAAGTTGCCTGTTCAGCCAAAGCATGCTCGGCAACAATCTGCTCTGCAGGCACCAATGGAAAACAACTGAGAGTCTGTGCACGCATTGGGGTATGTAACGAGGGGCATGCAACCAGCCAAGCGTAACGATGGTGTGTAACGAGCCAGCGGGTCTTGTTACAGAGGTCTGCGACGAGGTCTGTAACGAGGTCTGTAACGAATGTCCGCCGCGGCTCTGCTACAGACCCCTCAAAAAAATCACTGCCACATCTTGCTGCCAGCCCATCCGGTTTATCGCTCCTTGACACCCACCAGGCAATGCTCTTTGCTCCTTTGGATGATGGACGTGTCACCGTACATCACTCCCTGCCTGCGCGGTTGCAACTGCTAGCGCAAGTCCCCTGGATGCCATGCCAATATGTCTAGTCGTAAGAAATTCCCTTGAACACCAGGAAGAGACAAGAAAACATGTTCTTAAGCAAATGCAAGCAATCGAAGCCCAGTAGTCTTGGGGAAATAGGGACTTTCAAGAGAACCAACCCCCTCCCCCCAACCAGCCGGGCAGTCCCAACAGCCCCGGAACCCCCTGGAACTAATTGAAATCCACCCTGAAAGCAGCTCCAAAAAACAACCAAAGCTTACTTGTGGCTTGAATCTGGCACACTTCTAGTCTGCGTTTCTTGCGTTGGTTAGTAACCACGGTTCTAACCCGCTTCGAGGACTTGTGACCATGGCTTTGATGGACTCTAAGCACATGCTTCGGCAAGTCCAGGCTAGCTTGGCTGGTTCCAGGCAAGTTTGCTCTCCATATCATTCTCATCAGGCCCCTCCCTCCCCCCCCCCTCCCTCCCCCCCTCACTTTGTTCAGTAACTAGTAACCTTCCTGGGTTTCAATAGGCTTTCACTTATCCACAACGAAATTACGCCACAACGCAAAAAACAGATGTGCTTGAAACACAACCTTGGTCTTCCAAGGATGCAAAACAGGGCCCTGCCAAGGAGGGGGAGTTTGTTCTTGAAAAAGGACAATCAGCCCAAGCCCCCGCTTCTTCAGGATCTTGAAACACCACCATTTAAGCACTCTTTGCAGCCACTTGGACCGTACCTCTGGCTAAGACCGATTTGGCTCCAGCCCTCAATTGACTCTTGACCCACTCGTTTCTTGCATGTCCACTGTTGAAACGTCGCAAGATTTACGTGCCCCACCAACGTCTTCCAGGGCACAAATCCCCTTAGAACTGACAGTGCCCAGCTATTCAGGGAAAAGGGCATACAAGCTCGTATGTTTCATTCTGATGCATGAATCCAAGGCGCACGTTCTTAACCTTCTTGGTTTCAACCTGACCCCCACTGGTCCACTTTGTTCTGCCTATCCACAGAAAACAAAAAACAGCGGCACACAGGAACCAAAAATATTTGGACAATTCGCCCTTTCCATCATACCAACGTCCCGTGACTACTTCTCATCACTGCAAAGAGAGCTTCCCTTGGCATCACAAACAGAAGCCACACAAAACCAAATTTCCAAATGCACCACCCATTTGAGTCTATTTTAGTTGGGATTGGAATGCTCGCTGGCCACATGATCCCAAGGCAGAAACCGTCAATGGCTGCACACAGAGTATCCAACCAAAACAGGAGGACCGCGCGAAGCGAGATGGCGGAGGGGCGCACTGCACGTTGCCGCGCGCATCCAGCTTGGCGTGCCGGTTCGTCTTGACCCAGCAGATGTCCTAAGCATGACAAACCCACCAAGAAAGCAAGCACATCCATATCTGAGAGGGTCCAAGTACCTTCTGAGGATGGCGTTAAAGTACCTCAATACAAGATTCTTGGACCCTCTGGGTGAACAATTCCTTTCATTCCATTCTCGAAGTTAGAACTCAATTCGAAGCTCCTACAATCCGAAATCATGTTGGGAGAAGTTCGAGAGAGAATATTTCCATGACGAAAATCAGTGGTGTGCAACAATGTAATGTTCCCCGGGCATCACCTCGTTATTTTGCAGTTTGGCGCAGGCTGAGCTGAAACTTCACCGATTGCTCCTTCGTTACTTGACGTGGCCGATTGCACCGAGGACACCTTTGAGCAAATCGCCGTCCGGATCGGGGTCGCTCGTCGCGCGCGCGGGCGAAGGCGGCGCAGCCAAAGAAGTTGAACCAGGCCGTCATACGAAAACCAACAAAGTCCTCAGAGTATCCCAAAATCTAGATGGGCCAATGTTGTGCTGTCATGAAGCCGCCACGCGGTTGGGTAACCGTCACGCTGGCTGCGGAGTGTGCTGTGGCAGGAGGCCAACTCCGAGGCTCAGAGTCCAGAAGATCCAAAGTCCAAAGCGAGAGGTCCAAAGTTCAAAGATACAAACCATATGGGGGTGGTCCAAGCGCACCAAAAGCTTCTGTCTTTACGCATAGTATTGGGCTGGCCGGCGTCGCGCTGCGGCGTATATCTATATATATATATATATATGTGTGTGTGTGTGTGCGCATGTGTGTGTGTGTTTGTGTGCATCTTCAAAAAATGGCGAGCGCGGCGGTTGCAAGATCTGTCGGATGATATCTCCTGTTGACATAAGCCCAGCACAGGGTTTCAGCTGCGACGCGCCAGAAATTCACGTTGTGGCCCGTGGTCTGCGCCGGCTGCTGTGGGGCCTGCTCTGGGCGCCAGAAGCACCCACGGCTGCCGGCCCGACCTCAGCCCGGCGGTGTGGCGCTTGTGCGTTCGTCTTTGCTTGCCTGGGTCTCGCCAAGCTGAGAAGAGAATACTTACGCACGAGATTTCTTGGAGAACCTCATGCTTCAGAGCGCGGGTCCGTACGAGGAACCTTTGGGATGAGCTGCGGCACAACGAGCCAGACAGGCGACGGGCAGCTCTACAGACCTGGTGCTGGCCGCATTCTTCTAAGTCTGTCAACTCCCCGTCCATAGGGCCACCAGGTCTGCACCAATGCCATGTTGAGAAGGTCCTGCGTGGCTGTGGCCAAGAAAAGATTGCACAGAACCGTTCGTATTTGAGACTGCTTTTAACAAACAAGACCTTCTGATCAAAGAAACGAATTCGGCACAACACGCACTCAGCCTACAGGGCTGAACGCAATGCCATGTGGGCCTTCCCTTGGAGAGTGGCTAGGCTTGGTTTCTGTGATATCCGGTAAAAAGCGCTGCCAAACAATCAACTCCATCTTAACTAATCTTCCAGTTCCAGAACACAAACGGCGAGGAACATCAAGTTTGGACACAACCATCTCACTGCTGTATCCACCTTCTCCAGCTGCTGCTTCGAGAGCTTGTCTTTCGGCACAATGCCCGCTCCGTTGGCGGTTGCGGTGGTGATACCTTGTACTCGTCGCGGCGCGTGAAGGTCTTGACCCTAGATGTGGGCGCTGCCGCTACTGACGCAGCAAGACGCCATAGTGGTCGTCTGAGCGTACCTGAATTGCTCAGCTTGCGAACATGGACGACGGCGCTGGATTTGCTTGTGAACCTGGCAAGCCCTGTGATTGCGCAAGTGAGATAGGATAAGATCGACATCCGTCGTCTCCAGCAAGAAACTTCTGACCCACAAGCCTTTCACGCCCACCTTCCACCGAGTCTGCCAAAATACGCCTGCCAAAACATAGCTTGCAGGCAAGGCTGGCGGCTACGCTCACGCCCTTGTCGTGGAGTGGATCTCGCTTAGCAAAAAGAGGTGTCAGTAAACCTGGTTACAGGTTCACGTTACTTTAACCCAAATCGTCGGTGGTTCCAATTTTGGTTGATCCAGGCCCTGTTCGCCCTTTGTGGCGACTTGGCATACTTCTTGAGAGCAGACATACGCTGGCAGCCAGCCTCCACACGGCACAACCAAGACCCTAAATTGAATCGACCCTACACCACGATGTGCCGGATGGACGTGTGATTGCTTTCTGAGTTGTTCTGTTGT